CTTCACGGTGGCGATGAGATGCCTCCCTCGAATGCTCGCGTCGAGTTTGCTTCTCGTTGACGATCCGAACGTCTTGATTCACTGGAACGATGTCTTCTCCTCACGATTTGACGCTGTGGAGAACTTGCGTAGCAAGTTTTGAAATAACTCTTGACGAGTTGATAACTCCAAACAAGTTTTAGAAGAACTTGCAGAGCAAGTTTTGAACTCTGATCGAGTTGATAACTCTGAACGAGTTTGAACTCTTGAAAAAGAGTTGATTTGAACCGAAAGTTCGGTTAATAAGCCAAGGAAGAAGCTCCTGTTGTTGGTCTCCACCAAGCTAGCCGCAGATCGCTTCTTTGCTCCTTCCCCCAAAGAAAATCCTCCCAGAGCCCAGAGCCAAAAAAAAAAGCCAAAAAAGCCCTCTCCAACCTCCTTGTTGCTGCAGAACGCGGCAAGATGCTCGATCAAGGATCCCCAAGAAGTCAGCTCCCCCCCTCCAAAAAAGAGGCCCCGAACTCAGTTGAGTTTTGAGGTATTTATAGGGGGTTAAGGGCATAACCGCCCCCTTAAATATCTCCTTAATGAGGGTTTAATGGGGTCTAACTGCTCCCCATAAATCTCTCCATGATAGGGTAGTGATCCCCTAAAATCTTGGGGAGAAAACGGTTCTGGAACCGTTCAAATCGTGCTTGAACGAGTTAAACGCTGAAAACAGCGTTCTGGGCTCGAACTGTGCGTTTCTGGACCTGAAACGCACAGTTGAGGTTGAAAAACGCACAGCTGGGGCTGAAAACGCACAGCTGGAGCTGAAAAACGCACAGCTGGGCTGAAAACGCACAGCTGGAGCTGAAAAACGCACAGCTGGGCTGAAAACGCACAGTTGAGGCTGAAAACGCACAGCTGAGGCTGAAAACGCACAGCTGGGCCCGTAAACGCACAGTTAAGGCTGAAAACGCACAGCTGGAGCTGAAAACGCACAGCTGGTCTGTTTCAGGCTAAAAACGCACAGTTGAGCCCATAAACGCACAGTTGAGCCGTAAACGCACAGTTGGCCTGTAAACGCACAGTTGGCCTGTTTCAGGCTAAAAACGCACAGTTGAGCCCATAAACGCACAGTTGGCCTGTAAACGCACAGTTGGCCTGTTTCAGGCTAAAAACGCACAGTTGAGCCCATAAACGCACAGTTGACCTGTAAACGGGCCGCTTGCGTTCGGACCTTAACTCTGCGTCTTAAAGATGAGACGCAGAGTTGGGCGCTCGCTGGGAGTCGAAACGCACAGGCCGCATGCGTTTTAGAGATGAACTCTGCGTTTTAGGCTAAAAACGCAGAGTTGGGCCTGTTTAAAGGCTGAAAACGCACAGTTGTGCTGTTTTAGAGATTAACTCTGCGTTTCTAGACTGAAAACGCAGAGTTGAGCCTGTTTAAAGGCTGAAAACGCACAGTTGTGCTGTTTTAAAGATTAACTCTGCGTTTCTAGATTGAAAACGCAGAGTTGAGCCTGTTTAAAGGCTGAAAACGCACAGTTGTGCTGTTTTAGCGATTAACTCTGCGTTTTGATGTTGAAAACGCAGAGTTGAGCATGTGCGCTTTGACTCTGTAATGCAGAGGCGAACCTTAGGCGGGCTTGGCGGGCTTCAGGCTAAGTCCAATGTTCTGATGAAGTCCAGTCTTGCAGACGGACCTCAGAACATAATTTGCTGCGAAGAACAGGTCATAACTTTCAAACCGTAAGTCGGAATTAGACGAATTATATATGAAAATCGGCTATCTCGACGAGACGGGGCCATCCGAACCGAGCCGAAGGCTTCGGTTCGCTTCCTCCGTTTTGCCAAATTCCTTACGGTTTGAGAGATATCTGCATTTTAATATGAAGAGACCGTCAATTTGTAGTCTCTTTTGCTAGAGCTTTGCACAGATCGTCCTCTTGTAATCTTCGTCTTGGCTCCTTGAAAATATGAGAGTCGTCAGGTTGTAACTCCCGATGTTGATTGTGAATGCTGTTGAATTGGGGCCTTCATTAGTTGTTGTGAAGGTCGTCAGATTGTAACCTTCTAGAAGTCGTCAGATTGTAACTTTTATCATCGGTGTTTGATGGGGGATAAGCTATCTATTGTGATTTTTAGACAGCCTACATTGACTCTGTATGCAATACTGAAGAGGTTGTAGCTTCACCCGTCTCTCTCCGTCGGATCTCCTCACTGAGAACCAAATCACGAACGTCGTCGAACTTTAACTTTTTCTTTCCCGACGAGCTACTCACTGTCGTGACTGTAGCGTTCCAACTCTCTGGTAGGGAAGACAAAAGTATCAACGTCCGAACTTCCTCATCAAACTCAATCTCAACTGAACTCAATTGGGTTGTAACCGTATTAAGTTCATTGAGGTGTTGTGCTACTGACGCGCCTTCCGCCATTTTCAGATTGAATAACCGCCACATTAAATGAACTTTATTTGCGGCTGATGGCTTCTCATACATATTTGAGAGAGCTGCCATAAGACCCGCCGTGGTCTTCTCCTTCGCTATGTTGAACGCAACATTACGAGTCAATGTCAATCTGATAACTCCGAGGGCTTGTCTATCTAGAAGGTTTCACTCATCTGCCTTCATAGAATCTGGATTCTTCCCCGATAGTGGTTGATACAGATTTTTTTGATACAGATAATCCTCTATCTGTATTTTTCAGAATCCAAAATCTGTTCCATCAAATTTCTCAAGTCTCATTTTTGCCTCATCTGCGGCCATGTCTCCCACTTGAATCTGACTTTCTCTAGATCGTTTCACGCTCTGATACCAGTTGTTAGGAATTTAACGCCGAAATCCCTAATGCAACAGAAACGCAGTATAGAAAAAGTACACCAAGTTTTAACGAGGTTCGGCAACTGCCTACGTCCTTGGGAGCCACACAAATAATTTCTTATTAATCAAACAAGAAATTACAATTATAGGAGCAGATCAAAAATAAGATATCTCAATTGAACACTGTAGCTACAGTGTTAATAATTAAAGGGTATGAACCCTTTCAATTCTCACTTGAGAATAAATGAATACCCCTCAATATAAAACCCTCTTTAATTCTCTCTCTTCTTAAATCTCCTCTCTCTCAAACTTTCTGTTGAAAACTGAGATTAAAAAGGGGGAAACGCAAGGGTCGGGGGAGGCGCTCGCACGCAGAGTTCGTGCTCGCCTGTGCTGCCGAAGATCGCCTGGATCTCGCCTGTGGCTTTGCCTGCATCGACATCGAGCTCGTCGGAGCTCCTCGCCGGCGGAGGTTGGTATCCAACCCCCAAATTAACAAGTCAGAGTTGTAACTACTGTACCAAAACATCTGATAAGTTCTCATTACGGGCCTTATTCTAATTTATTCAAAAAAGACGTATTAATCCAGACGAATCAAGTATTCTAGAGCCATATATATACAGAAGAAACACTTAAATATATTGTCGGGCAAGCTAATTAACGGTTACAACGACTTCCAATTTATATGGATATATAGACACATCATATGCTACCCAATTTTTAATTACTCATGCATGGCATTATATATACTAACCTACCCAATCACTTTATGACATCATGCTAACCTCTTTCATCGGCTTTCAAAAAACGTTAGCTAGCTTCCAGAAACCCTTTAGCCTCCTCGACCGCAACACCCTAAAAAGGATATTCCTTTACAATTTATTTATTTTTATCACGCACGGGACATGCATATAATTAACTTTAAATAAATAAAAAAAGGTTGCGGTGGGGGGGCGGTAGAAAACTGATATCATGGGAAAAGAGTGAAGCATTTTGCAGTAACATCATTGTGTTCCCCTCTCCCGACCACATTTGATTCCATCCACAATTCTACGCCAAGCAATCGTGATCACTTTAATTTCCTTTCTCATATCAAAATTTTAATTATATAAACTCCCCCCTCTTCGGAACTCCAGCAGCAGTGAAAATCACCGGACAGATCGACCGACCGAGGAGAAGCACTAAAATAAAATGGCCCCAGCATTTTCTCTCGCGCTTTCCTTGCTCTCCCCCCTCTTACTCCTGACAACCGTCGAGGCTCAGCAGTCGCGAGCACCTCACGGCCTGGAATACGAGAGCCCAATGTCGCTCTCTCCTTCGGCCTTCGACTTTTTTCACCCGTCCCGTAATCACCACGCCAGTGCACCGTGCACAGGCTCCCAATGTGCGCATCAGCTGGCGCGTCGTCGCGAGGCAGGAGCCCGACCCGAAGGCAGGGCAGTTCATGGCCGGCCCCAGGGAGCAACACGAGGGTGAGGGCCCGGAACGTGGCGCGCAATAGTGAACGGAACTTGCGTTCGTGTGCTTGTGGCTGCGGGTGACGTTGTGGCCAGGCGCCGGGCAAACCGTCGCAAGGACGGCAGCATCATCAAAACCTGATGACGTTAATTTGACCTTTTTTTTATTGGTACTAATTAATCTTACTAGTCCTCCACGTAGTTCGGCGGAGGCTGTCTCCTCCACTATACTTAATAAGCGCTATCATATTTTATGTGGGACTTTTTGTACGTGCGTATACGTCGTATTGGAACCAGTCAGGTTAGTTAAAGGTGTCAGCTGGCTATATTTTTCAGTGATATATCGGATTTGGAAAGTACAACTCAGTAGAGAGTTTGACGTGCTGTGTGTGTAACCTTCTTGCTTCAAGTTACCTCCCTCCCCTCTGATATTATTGACATTAATTAATTACGAGGAGGTGATTGGGGATAAAATTGTTCCTTTTTTAACTGACCTGCTTGCGATCTGTACATGCCACGAGCGCTTGACTATGACAAGCGCGGACGAAAGTGTAATCGGGACCTATTATTTTGTCTTGTGTACTATTTCGCATATCGACAACCATCATTATTAATCCAAGAAAGAAAGGAAAGGAAAAAAAAAAAAAAAAAAAAAAAACGAAAAAAAAAAAAAAAAAAAAAAAAAAAAAACCATCTTCGGATGTTGACGCATATATAAGTTGTACATATTTTTACACTCTTTAGATTTTAGATAGAATGCGTGTTTGGTTGGGCCTTTGGGTATTGACCGTAAATAACGCGAGTCTGATTGCTTCGTGACAGATTCGATGCAGATCTGTCTGCAAAATAAAGTACCCCCTTTTCTTCTCAGATTCCTCTTTTTCAATTCAACTTTTTGGAAAAAAGGAAAATAAAGATTGCTTAGAAATGCATCTGTGGCCATCCCAACGAATTAGGGACTCCTTTAAGGAATCGCATCTCTCGAAGATGGAGTGGAATCTCAGTCGAATGAAGCAATCCCGAGCTTCCTCCTCTTCCTACAACGCCGCCGCCGATCAAAATCTAAAGCTCCCGCTTCTTTCTTCTTCTGATTCACGAAAAGGCAGCGATGACCCCAATAAGAAGGCGGCGGCGGCGGCGGAGGAGAATTCGGACCTCCTCCCTTCGACGAAGATCACAGCGCTTCTGGATCTCTCACAAGACCTAGTTCTCATTCTCACGTGCTGCGTCTGCTGCCTCTGCTTCGGAGGTAACCTCACCCCTCTTTGGCCCTCTATTCCACCCTCTTTAGATTGTAATTCTCAATTTGATTTTTGTCTGCACCAGTTGCTGCAATACGCCTGTTGACTTGAACAAGTAAATAATTGCTACCCCATGTTGGACCAAATGCTCGACTGTTATAGAAATTGTGTTGTGTTTTCAACGACTGGGTATAACGAGAATCGGTAAATGTTCTTAATTTTCATGGAGAACTCTAGAAATAGAGAAACAAACCGGTTTTAGGCTCGAAGTTTCAAGTTTGCGGGTCAAGTGTTAGCTTGACTTGGTCATTGATCATCAAATCAACCACTCTTTCTCTGTTAAGAGAATGGTGGAGAACGTGAATCATGGGTGGTTAAGAAAAAATCTCTTATGAGGGCGGATCTGAGGGGTAGAGATGATGAGTTAAGCCCCTATATAAGGAGGACCATTCTCCTTGAGAAAAAACAACGAAAATCAAAAGAAAACCCACTTACCCATTATTGGAGCCCCTCAAAATTTGTTCTTTCTTCTTCTTTGATTTCGATCACTGGTATCAGAGCCAGCGACGACTGCGCCTCCATCGACTTCGACGACTCTACGATCAGCAACCACGACAAAGGCTGCTGGGAGTTGAGATCGC